TCGGGGTCAAGCCAAACACTTGGGAGGTCAAGGAACCGCTGTCTGAGGAAGAGCGCCGAGCTACGGTCTACCCCGACAATACCTCCGAGTATGCAGGCAGCATGTACCACCATCGCTCTTCCGCATACGGTCATCATAATTATTGACCATTCTTTTCTTTTCTTCTCATTTCTTTAATTCCAGCGCTGCATATGTGACTATTGACTTCATGATATCTTATTTATTTCTTTTCCATGGATATTCAAATGCTTCCACCATGTCACCGCGTTAAAGCATCCTTTAGGGCATGGTTATAAGTTACTTCATCACACCATAATTACATTAATTAGACATTAATTATCGACAGGACGACAATAATTGACGAATTCGGAGATCCTTCGCCTTTTGCTCTTCCGGGCTATTCCGATCAAGGTTTGGCATGGAGGTCTCTCTACATTAGTGGTGCCATTTACCGCTAGCGGGATCGGAAGGATTCTGTTTTGAACTCAATTTGCACTGTTTATATCTCGATCACACATACATGTCGTGCTCCAAAAGTGTGGGGGCCTAGGAGATAAAATGTTAATCCTGTTGTATGTCTCGGACTTCGCCTGTTCCGTTTCAGCCCAGTTCTGAGTTCATTTCGGAAGAAGGTGGCGTCAGTCATCTTTGTCGAGGCACTAGACCTCTAGACACAGGCTATATAACAAGAATCTGGAGGATAATGTGAAATAAATGAAAAACTTGAAAGTGTTACCATGCATTATAATGCATCCTTCCGTAACATTTTGCGGCGCTGCAAAACGGCCGGAGCAAACCCCGAACATCTCGGGGCCACGTCACCCCGGTTCCAAGGATGTGATCGCTATTCAGTAGGCAGACGATCGTTGGTAGAGTGAAACAAGTGGTATATGTCAGCACTGCCACGTTCCACAACGAACCAAGAGCCCACTGGGACGACTTCGGGCATGACAGCTTAGAAAGGGCAGAGTGGAGCGAATACGGCGGCGGCGACGCCTCGTTCTGGAAGTTGCGGGACGATCAAAGCCCGTTGGGGTTTTCCTTGCGTGCGGAGAATAAATCACGATACCATGGTAATCAGGAATTCGTGCATACTATTCGCTGGGCACTAGGGTGCAGTGGTGCAGTGCATGCGACCGAAGTCTAAGTAAGTGGTCTGCCGATCAGGGGAGGGGACCATGGGTAGAGTTCTTGTAGAACGTCCCAAAGCGGTAATAAAAACAGGGGGAATTGTGGAGCGTCATGCTCGAATCGAGCTTTGCGAACTCAGTCAACGACGACAACATCACCACCATCCATAAAGTCCCCATCTGTTTTGGGTTTTGTGTTCCGTGTTGCCTGTGGTTGTTTGATATCGTCTTTCTTGGCCGGATCAGTCGACGAATTATACCAGCCCTTGTCTATTGACTGGACCAAGACTGCGCACGCTTCACTGAGCATTTCAAAAAATGCAGGATTCTCTTTGGACAGAAACATGGTGACATGGGCGTTGGTTTCGTCAGCAGCCTGGTCGTTCACTGCCCTGGTCCACAGAAGTCCTGGGCTTTGAGATTCCTCGCCACGTTCCACCTCCGTTGGCAATGCACAGAATGTCCTATTCTTCGACCTGATGATTTTTTGACTAAAGGATGTTTTGTTTGCTGATGTGTTTTCCACCAAGCTCGTCGCACCCTTTCCAAGGCATGTGTAAAAGTTCACACACCCGATTCCACGTTCCTCCTTAACATTCGACAATCGCACGAGACGCTGGTGCAATTCCGACGTACGCGCGAGACAACCGACAAACTCAAGGTGTGATGATACCCATCCGAGCCCGTCAGTGAGCTTCTGGCGCTGTGTATACATGGCTGCACCGCCAGCGGCAACAGCACCAGCCGCGCCGGCGAACATAGCATACTTACCCCATCGTTGCCAGGAAGGTGTCGCGGCGGCGTCGGATGTGGAAGACGACACTTTGGGTGACTCTTGCGGGGGTGCATGGGTGGTCCCCTGGTTTGATGCACTACCTTTTCCACTGTAGCCGAATAATCCTGCAACCTCTGAGAATGTGTTGTAGGCAGTTGCAGCATTGTGGTAGTGTCCTTCTGCGCCGTATGACACGACTCCTGGTGCTATTCCCAAGAATGGGGTATCAAATGCCAGCACGCCTTGTATGTGAGGGAACATGAAAGTACCCGGTTCCACGATAGATTCGGGGTCATCCGTGAACCCGGACTGTGTATTTGAAGACGGATTTCGAGGAATTGGTTGTTCCGCTGCCAACATAAGGAGAGCGTCCGCTGCTACTATTCCTCCCATTGAGTGACCGATAAGAACAACATGGACAGAGGGATCGACGGTAGGCGATGCAGTATGGTTGGCGACTTCGAGATCAATCACAGTGTCTTGTAGCCTGTAAATAACAAGTACCGTCAGTCAGCAAAGCTCGTATCCATTCACATAAGGAACTAGACCAAGTCTTACCAATCTCGTAATCTTGCCACGCATTCTTTTAAGTCACCTTTAGTTTCATACTTGGGGTAGACAGCAGTGGCGACCTCGACCGCAGGAAGTGCTCTGCTAGCGAGGACCCGCAAATGCTCAGGGAACGTGTCAAAGGTATCATCACCGCCCTGTAGTGGAATTTGGTAAGTCAATGTAGTTTCTAGGCCAAATTCGAATCTCTCTGAGCTGGAATCTGTTCTTTGTGGGGTGGCTGGGTCTTGAGCAAGCGGGCATTTGGCGTACCTTGAAGCCGTGAATAAAGACGAGTAGCAGAGTTTTCCTCATTTTGAGATTCTCAGACAGCCATATTTATAAAATAAACATAGGGAGTGATTCGACCAAGCGGAGGAAGCCGAGACTGTTACTCCCGAGGTGTGTTGATTTTAATTACGTCATGGCGATAAGCACGTGACAGGGTGACATAGTTATACACCTGGGCAACATACTATTAACTAGAAATCGTTCGATGGATACTATGAATATATTGTAGATTTTACTGGGGCTGAGGGGTACTTCCTCCAAATTGAACTTGATATTCAGTTGACTCTTGGATGCTGCAAATTATATATCCCGAAAGACCACATTGACCCAAACGCTTGCATTCCAACCTATAAACTCCAATTGACCCGGATATCCAGCACATTTGTCTCATTCCCAACGCCACATTAAGACAATGCTTTCAATTTCATGGCTGAACTCCAGGGTTAACTCCAAGAATGATTGGCTGAACGTTTTAGTGTGAAACGGCACATTCGGTGACATGCCCAGACCGCAAGCTTTCCATGCCACTGTTGGTGTTTCCAATAGCACTGCCAGTTACCGAAGATGCGCAAGGTTCCTTTGTATCCGGTGGTGGGATAGTTTTCCCCGGAGCGGTGCTAACAAGTCCCTTGGATACAGCAAAGCAGGAGGAGCGGTCGTGATTGAGATTCTCGCCATAGAATTCATCAAGAATTGGATGAAGCATAACGGTCTGCTTGTGAATGGTAACAACAGAATTGGTTGGGACTGACACCCAATTGTCTGTATAAAATTAGTATGTATTCATAGACATGGAGAGAGTGAGAGAGGCAAAGGATTCTCACGTCGTTCAAAGGTGATGGGCTCACTAGCCACGAGGACAATATCGGCACCTTTATCGTGTCGCTCCATCTTGAAGTGTCCTTTCGTTTCACCTTCCTTCCACTTGGTACCAGAAGAGAAATACAAGCTGGCAGGCTCGTCTGTTTTGCTGCTGATGTACCGAGTGCAAACAACAGTATGGCCATCTGTCACAGCAAAGTTCAACAAACTCCGAGTCTCTACTCCGGTGACATTATATTTCCCTGGAATTTCTTTGACCATTTCATTGATTCTGGCAATGGTCTTCATCAAAACACGACGTAGAAGAGCCTGTCCGAATCCCTCGGGACCGGGGTCAGAGCTTGGATCGACTCCTTCTTTTTCTAGCAGGTCAAGGAACAGGGCGAATGCCCACTCACTGTCGGTGCCACCTTTCACCCCTAGGTACCACTTATCGGCCAGTGAGCTTGCCAGCGTGCGCTTGATGTAGCTCCACCCGCCGATACCACCATTGTGCATCCACATTAGAGACTGGTGCTGAAACGGGTGGCAATTGTTCTCAGCAAGAGCGCCCTCGGTTGTTGCTCGCACATGCGCAAAAATCAGATCTGAGCATGTCTTTGCAGCGAGTCGCTCTAGATTCTCACAATTCCAGGCGGGCAATGTTGAAGTAAATATGCAAGGTTCTGGTCCAAGCTTGGGATCTGTGTAGAAGCCCACACCAAACCCGTCACCGTTGACAGGACGGCGGTTGTCCTTGATATTACATGTTAGTGGGTTGCGATATGCTGACCATGTAGGTTTGACACAGCGAGATGGGATAACCTACCAGTCTAAGGCGTGAATCGTATGATTGAGTAAGGATTGAATGACTTGGCTCGGTTATCAACTTGCTGAGACGAATCTCATTTCGCCCTTTGTATATCTAACCGAGATATTAGCTTTAGGCCCAATGCTTGGAGGGATGGACCTTACGAGGAATCGGCACATGTTTGATTTGGATCAAATGCAATTGGAATGACACTGTATCAAATCCCACTTCCAACTTCACTAATAGCTTCAGGATGTACACCAAACTTGTAATTCGAACAAGAGTTCAAAGGATGTATGGGGGTTGGGACAGATGAAGAGTCACCGCCAGTTGGGAACCGGTGAGATGTCCAAACGTCAACCACGGCCTCGCAACCAAACAATAATATATTCGAGCTGTGTTTTTGCCACGGATTACAAGAAGGGAGGATCGCTTTTATCAAAATCAACAAAAAAGAATAAAGTAACTTCCCTTACACAGCACGTCATATTCCACGTGATTGTGACATTACGGGAAGCTACGCGGCTACTTGCGCAAGTCACGGGGACTGTTAGTTATGCTTGATGTCACATGTGCAGTGGTCCGGTAATCTACGAGCCCATCACTTTTATTTTCATTTCTATTGAATGTTACCACAACAATAATGAGTGGGAGGATACTCTCCCATCGGCTAGGACCGTTATTGCGGAACGGTCACCTAACTCGCCATATTCATAATGCAGGCTCGCGGACCGGCGGCCTTTTACGCGCAGATGGTGGCGCTGCTCTCAGAGGACGCGCATGGCCAGTGGGCGCAAATGCCATCCACAATCTCCCTGCTGTTCGATCAATTTCATTTGCTCGAATGCTTCCGAAGCTGGCATTGAAGCTTGTCAGGGTTCCGGCTATGTTCGGCGGTGCAACAATCGCGGGTCTAGCTTATTTCCAATACCAAGCAACTCGTATGTCCCTCGTGAATAAAGCCCACTACAGGCAGAATATCAAGCTGATTTAATCTCACAGAGGCCGGTAACTATGCGATGGATGTCTTCAGACAGGCCTCAGAGACCGCGGGGAACACAGCTTCGACCTTATTCCAAGGACTGCAGGACATGACAGATCAGACACAACGCGGGTGGAATAAGACGACTGAAGACATCGAAATACCCGACTGGCTGCAGAAGATCCTACGTCTCGACGAGGAGTCTGAGTCTCGAAAGGGCGATTCATCTGGTGGTGGAGGCAAAGAGCCGAAACAAAGTCGGGCTGGTACTGCTGCCGCTGCCGCTGCTACTACTACGGCGTTTGGATACGACAAATCCGGGGAGGAAGATTTACGGCCGGAGAGAGATGCTGCCGAGGATGACCAAATGATGCTGCTCACACGCAAAATGATCGAAATCCGAAATATTCTCCAGACCATCGGCCAGTCCGGCACGCTCACTCTTCCGTCGATCGTCGTGATTGGATCCCAATCATCGGGCAAAAGCTCAGTTCTTGAGGCTATCGTTGGCCATGAGTTTTTGCCTAAGGGCTTGAACATGGTGACTCGGCGGCCAATCGAGCTCACGTTGGTCAACACCCCCAACGCTCAGGCAGAATACGGTGAATTCCCGGCTCTAGGTCTCGGAAAGATCACGGATTTTTCTCAAGTTCAGCGCACACTCACAGATCTGAACCTAGCCGTTCCTGAAAAGGATTGTGTCACAGACGATCCCATTCAGCTTACGATATATTCCCCCAACGTTCCGGATCTATCTTTGATCGACCTGCCGGGATATATCCAGGTTGCAGGCCGAGATCAGCCCCCAGAGCTCAAGCAAAAGATTGCCGATCTTTGTGATAAATACATTCAGCCACCAAATGTCATTTTGGCGATCTCGGCTGCTGACGTTGACCTGGCAAACTCGACAGCACTTCGAGCCAGTCGTCGAGTAGACCCTAGGGGTGAACGGACTATTGGTGTGATTACGAAGATGGATCTTGTCAGCCCCGAACGTGGCCACGATGTCCTTTCCGATAAAAAATACCCCCTTCGGTTAGGTTACGTGGGTGTTGTTACCCGGATTCCTCAGACAACAGCTCTCTTTTCTAGAGGCTCTGGAAACATCACCAGCGCGATTCTCAAGAATGAACATGCCTACTTCTCTGCGCATGCGAATGAATTCGGTCCCCACTCTGACGTCTCAGTTGGTGTCTCGACACTGCGGAAAACGCTAATGCAGGTTCTTGAGCAGACCATGTCATCTAGCCTATCTGGAACCAGGGATGCAATCAGCCAAGAGCTTGAAGAGGCAACCTATGAATTCAAGGTTCAATATAATGACCGACCTTTGAGCGCGGAGTCCCACTTGGCTGAGAGCCTCGATGCTTTCAAGCACTCCTTCAAGGCATTCGCGGAGAGCTTCGGGCGACCGCAGGTTCGGGAGATGCTCAAAGCAGAATTGGACCAGCGGGTCATGGACATTCTGGCGCAGCGCTACTGGAACAAGCCAGTCGATGACTTGGATCCTCCACTGCTGGAATTAGATCCCCTCAAGGATCTCCCCAAGGCCGATCCTGAGTCGCTATATTGGCACCGGAAGCTTGATGCTTCTACCTCATCATTAACAAAGCTTGGAATTGGTCGGTTGGCGACGACTGTTGTCGCCAATGCTCTCAACAACCATGTGGACTCGCTTCTATCCTCGTCTACGTTCGCCTCTCACCCTGGTGCTCACAAACAGATCATTGATGCATGCACCAGCATCCTAAATGACAAATTCTTCAGCACCAGCGATCAGGTCGAAAATTGCATCAAGCCATATAAATTTGAGATCGAGATCGAAGACCCTGAATGGGCCAAAGGCAGAGACAACGTGGGCAAGGTGCTCAAGGAAGAGCTCAAGGCGTGCGAATCGGCCATGAAACATGTAGAAGAGATTGTTGGAAAGCGAAAACTCAAAGACGTTGTCTCGTTTATTGACAGAGTGCGAAAGGGCGAAGTAGTATTAGAGGGTAACGGTGAAGGTGGCGCGGGTGGTTTCAGTGCCGCCTTGTTGGGGAGAGGTTAGTATTTCCCTCTTCTTCTATTTACAGGCACTAACATATATTATCTAGGACGAGAAGGCCTCTTCCTTCGGGACCGAGCGGATCTTATCAAGATGAGACTGCTCGCCGTCCGGTCCAAGCAATGCGCAACACAAAAGAACAAGTACTACTGCCCAGAGGTCTTCCTGGATGTTGTGGCAGATAAACTCACCTCCACCGCCGTTCTATTCCTCAACGTCGAGCTCTTATCTGAGTTCTACTATAATTTCCCACGTGAGCTTGATTCAAGACTTGGACGACACCTTTCAGACGACGAGGTCGAACGGTTTGCCCGCGAGGATCCCCGCATCCGCCGTCACCTGGACATCATCCGCAAGAAGGAGCTGCTGGAGCTGGCTCTGCAGAAGATCGAAGGCATCCGACAGCTTGACGGCCGCGCCAGGAAACCAGAGCGTGCGCCTCCTGGAAAGGAAACGCGAAGCCGTTGGAACCTTTTCTAGAATATCCGATGTTTGAGTTTTCTGCTCTTCCCTCTTCTGTCTGTGTGAACCATTCGTTTCTTTTTTTCCTTCTCAATCTGGAGTTTCGATACCTCTGCTAGTGTTCTTATCACTACTCTCTTTATCATGTTTAGCCATCTTCTCCCCTTACCCCTTCCCCTTCCTCTTGGGATAGTATGTATCTCTAGATGTTTTGTTTTGAAGTCGATGTACATAGCTTTAGGCCGTTCATCACAAACTCGATATTCTATTCCTTAGAATTATCTTTTCTCCTTTATTGATCTGTAGAAATTCTACCTACCCGGGAGTTTGGCTGGCAAGTACCAGATTACGCGCCAGGCCGTTAACATAGCAGTTTGATTCAAACAAGACAAACACCCCTTCCATTCATAATTAAGCTTTTCCCATTGTGGATGATCTCTAAATCAGAGATTTCATTGGCTGTTCAAGCCTGTCGACTGCCATCTCATTGGTTGATCCGTTCAATCATCTCCATCTACAGTGTATGTCCTTCACCATCGACCGTCGAATTGCCAAGCCGTCCACCGTTCGAAACCCACACCTACACCCCGCCATTAACATACACCCCAGTGCTGAAGAAGAAGTGCACCTCGGTGCTAAAGAAGGCGTCATGGAGGAATCGTTTGACATTGAATATTTCGAAGTCAACAACAATGAGATTAATATCTCAAAGAGCGTCCCTAAATTGAAAGGACAGTCTAATTTCAGAGACTGGGAGGCAGCTCTCTATCTAGCACTTACTGTTAACAACTCTTACTACACGCATATGATATCCACTGGGATTCCTATGCCAACACCACCAGCATATGCCGATACCACTTCGAAGTCGGTACGACAGGGACTTGTTAAAGAAGCGCGGGATGCAGCCGGTGATGAGACTGTTGATATCACAATCACCTCTGCCGAAGTCCGTGCTCGGGTCAAAGGGCTTGTTGAATTGAATGAAGCACTTCGCAAGAAACACAATGCCAAATGCAACAAGTGGCGATCCTGCAACAACAGAGCTTGTATTCAGTTACGGATGACCCTCGGTCCTCAGGCTATGTCTCTTGTGTCTCAAATCACCGATGTCCATGAGGCTTTTAAGAAGCTGCGTAAGACATACGCTGCATCTTCACACCAGCAATCATACGCTCGCTATACCAAGTGGGTAGATCTTCGTTTCAAGAATGGAACTGCGACCAATTTTGTACGCAAATTCCAGGAAGCACTTCGTGATCTCAATGAGACAGCTGGTGTTGTGGTACCACCGGTGATTGTGCTATGTCAATTCAAGAAAGCAGTTACTGAAAATGCTCGTTGTCATGCCTTTCTACGAAACCTAAAGGTTAACGAGAAAGATGATGCCTTGATGGACAACGTGTACATTGAATTCGTTGATGCAGAGACTACCAATCGCTCCATCAACCCTTCGTATCTCGCTTCCTATTAGGTTAGCATAGTTCATACCAAGCATATTTCGGGTCAACTTGACCGGATAATTGATTTTTTTGAACCCATTTCTCCAGACTGTCAGGAATGAAGAATATGCCTAGGTAGACAGGCTTTTTATAATGGCGTGGGAACAATCGTAGAGATATTTTGGGCTATGTAATAAAGGCAACAAAGAAACCATGTAAGTTTATAAAAAGGTATTTTGTTTTATTTTTCTTTCGCAATGCCCCTGTTATTGTTCGCTATTTCTATTTATGGTCAGGCAGATCTATAATAGTACGCCTTGGATCTTCACGTTTCAGGATATTCAACGACTTTGGCCTTTAATAATCTACGCTATTTTGTGCACAACTGACGTTCTTTCATGCCAACTAACATCATGTCCTCGACAAAGGCGCGAGTTCCCAGTATGAGATTGTTATTTAAACGGTGACTTGCCCACAAAGCTCTAGGGCTACCCAGGACAATAGTACAATAGAACAATCACAATGTCAACAGCCCCAACCCCTTCCACCGAATATTTGCTGGCTTGTAATGGTCACGTGAATTTGACACAGGCACGTGCCTGGAGCCTAACACAAGTAAGTTGCTACACCTGTGAGCTGGTTCAATTTCTTTTGTAAAACAACCAAAAAGCTAACTATGCCCAGATCAAAGTTTTCATGATCGAGGTTATAGACAAAAGTCCCACCTATGGAGTGAAACGGGGGGTCGTATCAGAATTGAAAAGACTACGCACCGATATTCTCGATCTCAGGTAAGTTGGATGTTCGCTAGACTTTGTGTTCTGTCAACTAATCAGATTCTTACAGCAAAAATGGGAGCAGATATCAGTCTGAACCCTCCAACCCCCAGGCGATTTCGAGGAAGGTTAACCCAGCAGCGGCCAACGAGGATGAATCGTATTTCTTGTTGGATGAATTGATATATGAAGGTGTTTCATATTGGAGTCCCTTTGACCTTTTAGGTAGGTTCATTTCCCTTATTGGACCATCACCCCAAGGTGCCACACTGGATAATTTCTACTTACCTCTCACAATAATGTACATCAATTGGTGTCGCAAACTAGCCCCGATGATGCCGTGGGTGTATTCGTGCGTCTGGGCAGAGCAAAAGGATAAGCAGAGCCGCTTTCACCTGGGAGGATCACTTGCGGGATATCGCAATCCAGAGGGGCAGGACAACCGCTGGGTCAAAATTCTACAACGAGCTCGTTTCAATGTTCTCCGCGATGAGAAAACTGACACAGCAGGAATAAAATTCGAGTCTACAGATTTAACGAGTCGAGGGGGCCATGCTATTCCTTTTGGAAACTGCGCAGAAACCTATCCTCTCGCGAATGTCCTACGGTGAGTCCATACCTTTGACCTCCTGTACGTTCCATGCTAACGAATTAGGAACCGCGTCCCTGGTGAGGAGGTGTTTGGCATTGCGGTGATATTAAGAAAGCTACCCAAAGATGGCACATGTAGCCACTCGCAAGCATTGGATGCAATGACTCCACCTTGCACTAATTGCCAGCAGGTGATAACCACATGGGGTGGGAAAGTAGAGAACTTCATCACACATGATATGCCACAGAAAAGTCCCATTAGACGTTTTGAAGTGAAATCGCCTACATCGCCTCCTACTCCGGAGGCATCTGGATCGAAAGTCGATGCGAAACGGGCTGCTCCAGCAGACGATACCGATGAGCCTGCGGCGAAAAGGGCTAAACGCTGGGCACCTGAGGTTCCTAAGAAGCCATCTCATCTAGTCAAGGGAAAAGGCAAACGAAAGTAAGGTGCTGGGATGTGTAAAGGATTGAAAGCACTCTTGTTTTTAGATATATATATATATGTCTCTCTATAGTTAAGTAAGCTTTGTGAAGCCCTGATATCAAAACAAATAAATGCGATCATCTAAATGAATCTACAGTGTTTAGACTTCAACTATCGAGCTTCTATAGTACTATGTTTAGTATATTCTCCTCTTTCCCTTCACCATCCACTGGACAATAGCTCCACTATACAGTACTATGTAGCTAGACCCATTTCCCTACGCGAAAGTACCCCGCTGAACTAACTTCATGTCTTTTCTCCAACATACTTCTACAAACACTTAATGTCCGAAAATGGGGTTAGACAACTTACCCGAAGAACTCATAGAGATCATTCTGATATTGGTAAACGACGAACAGACACTCCTACTCGCCCAAAGAGTCTGTCAACGCTGGGCTCATTGCATTCGGGACTCCCGGATACTCCAGCAAGCCCTATTCTTCCAGCCTAAGCAACCCACCCTACCAAAGACAACCATCCCACGACAAAACCCCTTACTAGCAGTAAAGTTTCCATACTGGTTTCCCGATGTTTGCCAATCATCCCGCAATACCGCATTCGGGGCTGGAGACATGCAAGAATTCCTAGACAAACACGGCGCATGGCTCCATCCAAGCGCAAGCTGGCGCCGAATGTTGGTCCAACAACCCCCAGCAATGTCGCTGGGTTGGGTAGACCGCCAAGAGACCGAGATCTCTACCAACCAGATCTGTCTGCGCCGGTGGGAAATCTCATTGGAAGAGTATGGTGGGCTTCGTATGAACATGCTTTACGACCTGGTTGCCAGGTCCTCGGATGAGGCGGCGGCGTTCTTTTACTGGAGGATGCATCGGAGCCATCCTGGCCTGGAGAGGTTTTCTATCAGGTGTGATCCGGATATCCAGATGGATAGGGAACCGTACTACCTCGAAGCGATGATGTCGGCTAATGCGCAGACGGATGTCGTGCTTGATACGTGGAACTCGCCGTATCTTGAAGCTCATCTTTGGCCGCAATTCGGTGAGGATACTTGGACGTGGGATTTAGTACGAGGGCTTCAATCGCCGATGGGAGATATCGATCTTGATGTGGTCTATGCATCGAGAAAACACAGGGAGGTGCGGAGTTGGGAAGTGCGCCTGCAGAGCGTGAGAACGCACTCTCCTGACGGGGGAACGCACTCTCCTGACGGGGGGTGAATACCCTCTTCCGGACGAGGAGGATGGAGATCTGTGATGCATAATAGAGAATGGAATGTCGTCCAGCGATCAAGAGATGGAATCCAAACATGCAGTGTGATAGCGCTACACAATCCAAGGAAGAAAAACACTTCATAGTTGGAAATGACAGATCCAATACAACAATCCCAGACCCAGTCTATGTATTCCTATAGCGTACAGTACAGTCTCAAAAGCGAAACAAAGAAGACGCGCGAATTAATGCTTTTGTCTCTGGCCGGGACCAATTGCAGCACCAAAAGTGTGTCAAAAGAAAAAAAGATGGAAAATGGATATGTCTATCACGGTCACAGGTGCAAAGAGAGATAAAAGACAAGGATAGTGGGGGATGGCATCAGGGGGGGGCGTAGCGGGATACATTGCACAGTCAATGTGTCAGTGAAGGCATTGAATAGCCAAAAAGAAAATAGTATGGCTGGCGATATTACAGAAGATCATCGAGACCCGGGCGAAGATGCTTACTCCCGGGAGACATCACGACCGAAGAGACGAGCCTTGACCCAGTCGACACAGACAAGGACACGGTTGCGAGCTGGATTATATGTTAGTGGTGAATCTCAATCAGTACTGGATAGAACATAGAACTTACTGCTGAAGCACATGCTCAGGTAGGCACTGCGCCAGAACAGGTAGGTCATAGTACCACCGCTGGCGATGTTGCCGCTCAGCCAGCTGATATCGGCGACGGCACGCTCCTTACCGATGTAAGCCAAGGAGCCCTGGTGCGAGTACTGGAAGGGACCGATCTGCTTGTTGCGGCGGAGGTGCTTCTGACGCTCACGAATCTCGTCGAAGATCTGGTTGCGCTCCTCGGCGCCCTTGGCCTGGGACTGACGCTCTGAGAGGGACTCCAACTCTTGCTCGAGGGCCTCGGTCTTGGCCATGGTGTTGAAGAGGCGGCCCAAGAAGGCACCTTCCTGACCAGCAACCTGGGCGGTCGGGGCGTAGTTGGCAATGGCGCAGTCACCGACGGCCCAGACGTTCTCGGTACCGTTCACGACGAGGTATTCGTTGACAGCGAGACCACGGCGGGACTCGGCCTGAGCGGGGATCTGGGACATGAGGTCGCGGACGACGCTGCGGACGGCGTTACCGGTGGCCCAGACGAGAAGACCGTAGGGGATAGTCTCAAGCTCCTTGGATCCATCGGGCTTGGTCACCTCGGCCTGGATGTACTTGTCGGTAACCTTCTTGACCATGGTCTTGGCGCGGATAGAGATCTCCTCCTCCTTGAAAGTCGATTCGGTGTAGTCAATCAGTTGCTTCGAGAACATGGGCAGAACATTGGGCAGAGCCTCGACGAGAGTGACGTGGAAGTTGTCCTTGATTTCGGGAATCCACTTCTTCAAGTCATCGTTGAAGAAGTCCTTCAGTTCACCGGCGAACTCAACACCAGTAGGGCCACCGCCCACCACAACCATGTGCAGCAGACGCTTGACCTCTTCCTCGGTTTGATCCTTGAAACAGGCAGTCTCGATACAGTCCATAATACGTTTGCGGATGTTCTGGGCGTCACCGACTTCCTTCAGGAAGCAGGAGTTCTCACGAACACCGGGAATACCTACACGTCACCAAAATTAGTCCAAAAATGCATCGTTTCAGATGCGAGAGAGGATCCTACCAAAAGTCGCGTTCTCGGCACCAACACCGATCACAAGCATGTCGAAGGGAACCTCGGTGTGCGAGATATCACCCTTAATTTCCGAATCATCACTGATGTACACAATCCGCTTCTCGTAGTCGATCTTGGTGGCCTCGGCTTCGTAGAACTGGACACTAGCCTTCTTGTGGCGCAGGATATTTCGGATAGGCTCCATGATCGAGCGGTGCTCGATCAAACCGGTGGTACATGAGGGCAGCAAGGGGGTGAAAAGGAAGTAGTTACGGGGGGGAGACGACGATAACGTTGTAGTTCTCGGTGTCAAGCTTCTTTAGGAGGGAAACGGAGCCCCAGCCAGTTCCTGAACGAACATAGTCGCGTTAGCGACACTTCGGCCATAGGGGATCAACGATCGCGACCGACACATACCGAGAATGACCAGAGTCTTCTTTGATGGGTCAGGCGGGGCCTGGTCCGGGGGTTGACGGAGATCGAAAATGCTGTATGCGACAGTACCGGTCAGACCGATGGCAGAGAGCCAGGTCAACCGCCAGGCCCAACGCAGAGCTCTGAAACGCTTCTTGGGCTTCGGGGCAGGCGAAGGAGCAGCATCAGCGTAGCCACGACGAGCGATCCGCGACACAGACTGGGAAACCTGGGTAGACCGCATCGGCTTTGCGCGAAGGGCAAGCTGCGATGTCGACATCGACCTGCGCGTCATCGACGACAGCTGCATGATGGACGGAGCCATCTTGCGAATTGCTAGCGTGGTGCCAGCCATTGTGATAGGGCGCACCAAAGGTAGCAAAGTGAATGCAAATAGGATGAAATCTCAAGGGTGACTGAATAATTTAAGAAGGAAAAAAAAGATTTGATAAGCTCCATCATTGCGTTGCTGCTTTGGGCGAATCGGTGTACCCGGACCAAAGGGGGTGGCCGTGTACCTAGTACTTGGCTGATTGCGTGCTTTATGATAGTATATGTAGGTACTGTATACATTTGTCACTTTTTTTCCTTGCCAATTTGATCATTTCAATTACTTATTAGTATATAAGTTACTCTGAACAGCTATATCATATAAATCATATAGAAACTGGTAATTATTTCCCGACCAAACTATATAATAACCTCCTAATTGGTTAATATCACAAGCCAAAAGGAAGAAAAAAAAAAAAAAGCGAAAAAGAGACGATAAAATTGGAGAACTGAGGGGACAAGCAATCTCCCGGTGAGGAGAAATTAACCGGGGGGGGAACTTCAAACTCGGTCTATCGGTCAATGTTTTGGGGTAAAATTATGCGACTTTGAGATATGTTGGATGTCTTCAATGATCTTGGAATTGATATTCGAATTCTACGACAATAACCCCAATGCTTCACAATATTCCCCCTTCCCTCCCCACCTCCAATTCCCAAGCTCCTACGGCATTCTCCGATTATCAACCGGTATTACCCGCATCCCTATTCCACATAACTGTGCTCTCGCTATACGGAATAGCCACTTCTGCATAAATAGGGCAACCTCTGACGTTATTCGCGCTAAAGCTATCGAATGGTAAAATCCGGGGAAGTTCGAAGCTCCACTCTCATCGCTGGTCCGGTTTCTTCCATCTAACCTCACAACATAGCAATCCCGATGGGCCTGACTATACAGGAAACCTCGGCCAAAATCGGCCGGTCATCGTTGGAGCTTAGATGTACTCGTGAGGTTATCAATCGCACTCCCGGTCATTCTCGTCTCAATTAGGGTTTCAATACTAGCTCCGATATGACGCATCATAGAGAGAACAACTGCTCGAAGACTACGGAGTAGCTAGAAATCAGGATGTCTCAAATATGTAAGTGTAAGTGAGACCAAGAAAAGTATCAGGTGATGTCAAGATCAGATGTCCTCTTCATAGTGTAAGCTACGTAATATGATAAGTTCACCCAGGAGCCGCCTTTTCATTGGTCAATTCAATGTTTGCACCAATACATAACTACCTAGGTAGCTACCTACCGATGCTCATTTCTGCTCAAATCAGCGAAAGGATATGACATCAGATCCCTAGAGTGTCAGCAAAATGTGTATTACGTATAACCCAGGATATCAACCGAGACATCATGATCTGATATCACAGACCTTCAGACATCAAGATCAATGCCATCTTTGCCACTAGAACAAGACAATATCAAGTCCAAACCTGCACGGGATATCGTCCGTGAGATCCGACGTCAGCATGAACACAAGACCAACAACCCAATGACCAAAAAGCATGTGATATGATATGCGTAGCACAATATACAATCTAACGGGGGTCCCAAGCTCTTTTATAGAGGAAGACAAGCCCACGGTCCCCGACCCCAAACAAGAAAAACAAACAATGCATCCAGCATGACAGGTCTAGTAGCAGTAGAGCCTAGATGCAACATCGAACAAAGTCTACAAGTATCTACGAGCGACAGCCTGGACGGATTCCAAATATGACGGCGTTAGTAAATGGCCGCCTATCCGCCCACAGAGTATGCAAGTATGCAAGTAAGCAGTGCTGGGAGCCTGTAAGTGGAGAGATTATCTATTAAGTAGGCTGAAACCCTGCCTGACGAGTGTACAAGTGTGTTCTCATGCGGGTACAAGCATAATATCGCCCTTCTGCTGATTATTTGCTCCGCCTTTGCTTGTCTACGCGTCCATCTGGATTGCATCTGGGTTGGTTGGGTATATCGGTGTCTCCGTGTCGGACGAAGTATCATATCTTCATTGGAGAGTGCTCAAGGGATAAGTATGCAGGATGCGGTTCAGATCGGTGTATGGAATATCTTGCCTTGTACTTCCTTTTTTTGCATCGGCCCTGTCTGGTCAGATCTGACAACGCCTATGCTTAGGGTTTTCATGGGGTCCGTTTGCCTGTGTTACGGGGGAACTATACATATAGCCGCACTGCGAGATCAGAATATAGCCAGTCGGTTCATGAGATATTTCGGAACCGGGAAATGTGAGGTTCCATTATGGCTATAGCAAGGCCGAATTATGATGTTAGGGTGCTTTGTCTTCGTGTCTGAATCTCTGGGCAGAATCTGGACGTAGAACCGGGTATGATTGGATTTTATTAGGATTTCGCCTTGTCTGTCAGATTGTTTCTGCCTTGCTTGCTTCCATAGGCGTTGATCGGTTGGTTCTAGTGTGCATTATATGCATTTATTTGATGGGTGGATCTGTCGACAGGGAACCTTCGCTGGTTTGAAGAGACAAGACATAGAATGAAAATGCCAATCGAGATCAGAGTTGATATCAATGGGTATGATCAAATATTCCATTTCACAGACCATTGATCTGCAATGTCTGGTTTTAACGTGTCCGATAAGTGGATGGGGAGTAGATATCAAATAGAAATTGAGGCGGGCATTACTTGAATTATCAAGGCAGACTCCGTCAAGCTTTCTGATGGCATCATAGACAAACAATGCTCATCCATGAAGATCTGGTTTCTTGCTTGATTCTTCTTGAGTCATCTGAAAGGCCCAAGTTGTGTTGTGGCGCTGTGATGCAAATCGTATCGCAGCTTGCCTCGAGGAACCAGTCTCCACGTGCCGTTAACGGGGAGACATGCACATCGGTTGAGCTGACGTTAAGCAGACTCTTCGCATTTTTAAAGCAAGGCTAGACCACATGAGAATATCCCTGTATTAGTTAGTCGTTAGTCGTTGGCGTATTGTGGTTGAAACAGTTGAATCAGAAACGAGGAATCAATCAACAGTATGTCATGGTGTGCATCCCATCCAGGTTAGTCGATTCCATGTGAGTCCAAGGAATGATCCGACCAGCAAAACCCGGGTCAGTTTCAGAAATGGCACGATTGAATAAACCCGTCACGGCAAAAATTGTGACGGCGAACAAAGAAACCTTGGAAGTTGATCAGAGTTGACCTCAATCCGCGATTACCGAAGAGAAGAAGAAGAAGAAGAAGAAGTTGAGTAGAACAAGGTCAGAGACCGGTTACGTCAAAAGCACCAACCCGCCACTGGCCTGTGTTCCCTGGTTACGGCTATGACCATGTCTCAATAATCTGCCTCGGAGACCTTGAAAGGACAAAGGCGTCGTCAGCCACCAACCCCGGGAGGTCAAAGATTATTAGTTTCAACCGGTATACTTTGTAGATTTGGAGACGCAATAAATGATGATAATGGAGCGAATTCGAATACGATTGGTTCCAGGTCTTTGGATCTTCGCGGTTAATTCTCGTCATTTACCTCGGAAAGTCGAATCTGCAAAGGGATACTCGAAATACGGTGATTCGATCTGTGAGATGTCGATGACTGTGACATATGTGCTGTTCATCCACGGTGCCGTGCAGGCGAGGGTAGTCTGATCCACATAAAATCCAAACAAGTGACAATCTGAGGTTTCCCAAGGTTTCTTTTGCCGTATATCCGTATTCTTTTTATATTTTTATTTATTTATTCTTAAGTTTCATGTTGGCTCTGGTATTATTGAATATTTGTATTCCACATCTACAATATACAAGAGAGTACAGTGTTACTGGCTGCGGAAACAAGCCCAGCTTGCCTCGGGACTGTACCTGGCATTGCAACACATCTTGGACCGGGGAAGACGAGCCATTTCCCATACGACGGCTTACTTGAGTTGAAACATTGAAACACTTTTTATTTTATTTTTATTTTAGTTGTCTCATTTCCCTCGAAAAATAACCCCATAAATAGTGAAAACAACAAGTGGCTCCCGGACGTAGACGGGATATCATTGATGTGATATTGGGTACGGAGTATACTTTGTACTAAATATACTCCATAGTAAGAAAAGGGTGCGGGTTAGATTTTGTACGCGTTGACTACTCCACCATTCACAGCAACAAAGCTAAGTCGTCGTTCTTAAGGCAGAATAATTGACTTCCTGTGTCGGATGTCGGGAAGTGCAGACTGGTGTTCCGACTGGGATCGTCGAGTCGTGACCGCTACGCCTGTATTATTATTATTATCGGAGCTCTAGACTCCCGAGACCGATGCCCCCTCTGTTGTAGGTAACGTACCTAGTTAGTATTATTATTAGTTAAGCATCGAAAACTACCTAGGTAAGCGTAGACGTTCAAGGCGACCCCTGAGACAAAACTACGTGATAGATCCTATCACACTTTACACTGACATGTGCACCGAGTACATTAACTATAGTTAATGATTCTAGACTCCTATAGTTAATGATTCTAGACTCTGACTACGTTATATGATCGCAGACAACCGGCTCGGCTGCAACAGACAGCAGATTTTAGTTTCTACACCGTCAATACCGCATTGATGGTTGATCACGACTACCCACAAGCCACCGAGCGGGGGGCAAAAAGATGATTGATTACCCCGAGCAAGGCTCCGTTGAGTCAACGCGCGGTAGATGTTGAAATCTGCCAAAGTCAAATCACGAAAGCAAACAGTCTTTGGATGTATTCAAGACCCTGCTAATCTCAGCGCGAGCGCCGAAACCAGCGCTTTGCTTTGTTGATGTGCTCGGGGCGCCTTGCACAATCTCGATACAACATAGATTCCGAGATAAGTGCTGGGGTCAAGCAAAAAGTGAAAAAGCTAAAAAACAAAAAAACAAAAAAACATAATGATGGATTATTGCCCCTCAACTTGCTTTGTCTTTGAACCCTTTCGAGCATGTGGGTTGTGTGGACTCGTCCACCCCCTCTACAGAGTACCTCTGGCACTTGGCCGCTCTAACATGGGGGGCTGAAGTCTAGAATCGATCAGCCTCAAAAAGACATCAACTGATGGCTCGAGATGACCCCGT